TTCCTTAAGCATCCACAGTACATGTAAATAAATACATGTATATATGCCTCCCTCCCCAGTCCTTCCAGGGGCTGAAACCCTAGGTGCTGTGGGTTAAATAGGTTAGTTCCTCTGTCAAAGATACACTTGGTTAATTTTTAAACAAAGGTCTTCAGAAAGCTCTAAGATTTTAACCATCAGCTTCTGGGACGTTCCCCACCTTGGAACATTTAAAACAATGATTCATCTTCATGAGAAATATGTAACTGCCTGAAACTAACCCTCAAATAATGTTAATTATCTGCATGGTCTGTGTTTCAGCATATGCAGCTGCCAGCTACCACCGTTGGACATTATGAAAGCTTTTACATGGCATCAGCTTTCCAATGAGCAGACACCTCTAAAATACATAATTCTTAATCTGTATTTGATTGCCACAGCCTAAAAATCCCAGAATTTATGAGAGCTACAGATTGTTTTTAGACTGCACAGTGTGGAATAAAAGCCAAGGTTTTTGGTTCAGCTTGTTGATATTTCCTGAAAACATGAAACAATTCTGAAAGGACCGATTTCCTGGCTCACAGCTAAAGGTCAGCAGTCACATAGGGAGTGCTTGCTAAGTGTACCAAAATGATTGGGAAGGAAAGATTGGCACAACATTGCAGTATTATTAAAAAGTGATTTAAGTGGGGAAGAAGGGAGAAAAGAGTGAGACAGACTAGGATTAGCCTCTCAACAAGTGAGCTTTCATCAAGACCTGAAGAACAGCCTTGTTCCTTGCTGCTAGCAGCCCGTCACTGTCACTCTAAGCTTACTCTTGCTCCCTTTTTCCACCCCCCCTCTGAGCCTTGCATTGCCAGTTCCTTCTCCATCCCAGGCTGCACTGGCTCTGAACAGGCACCACAAATCACTCCCCTGGCCTTTCCTGCATGGTCCACAGTTTTTCCAGGCTCATCTCTGTAGATTATGGAGGCCCAAGTTTCATTGGGAAGGACAGGAGTGTGAAAGTCCCATGACTTTGTGCAACACTGACATACAGTTGTGTAATATGCAAAAAAACTCCCCATTTCCCCAAGAAATCACCCCCAAACCTGCCCCATGTTGGTAACTTGCCCTCAGCACAACTCAAGAACCAAAGCCATTCATTGGCTAACTCTGGTTCTGCAGCCGGCAGAGGGGGCAACAGGCAGCTCTCATTGGTTTCTTGGAACCATCTGCTTGAACGAAGTTCCTTGTCCAAGTATTTAATTTTATAACAACAGACACCGAAAATTTGCCATCCACTGAGATGAAATGAATTTGAAAACAAGCACATTCTGCAATTAAAACCTCTGAGGCACCTATAACGTTGTTAGCAACTTTAAAACAATATTTAGTACCAGTCGCAAGAGAGACTGTTTCAGCTCCCTCCAAAACTCACAATCTTGTTTTCATTTTTATTACCCATGTTTTTGATTTAAAATATGGGGCATGTACCATTTTTCAGGCAAATAAACTGACCAAAACCAACCTAGCAGCCTCCACAGGTCCCTGCCACAGGCTGTGCTCCCAGGTAACTACACCCCCCTCTCCCAGCCTGACCAACAGCCCTGGGACATCAGAATTAACAAAGAATTTGTGTGTATAACCCTGCTAATGAAATGCCATTACTCTGACCTCAACGTTTTTCGTAACACTGACTTATCAAAAGCATATGCTCCCATCACTCATAATCTGTGTTAGGGTTTTTTTTTGTTGTTTGTTTGTTTTAAATTAAAACCCACTGGTTGTAGAGCAAAATGTTACCTGTTCAGCTAAAGGCTAACAGCAAGCCAATGACCACGTGTACCTCAAATCCAATGTCCCCAAATCCTGCTACCTACAGTAAAGTAAAGCAAAATAGCAAATGCACTAGTAAACAGCTAAGCAATACTGTAGGCTGTTAAACTTTAAATTTAGCCCTGGCAGATGCTGGAGGAAGGGCGTCCCAGAAGGCACGTGTCCTCTGCTATGCAGAGACAGCACTCAAACCATAGACTCCTATTCCACATTTATCACTTTGGAATATATGGCTACACCTATTGTATGTCATCTGTATTTCATACATATATTTTCTCTAAAAATACTTTGTATGAAATAAAACACACTGCTTTTGGCCACAAAGTGTTTGCCCCAAAAGCAGCCAGTGAGACTGAAACAACAGATGGTAATTCCTTGCAACGGGACAAAGCTGTAGCTCAGAGTAGAGGCGCTCTGACAATTTAGGGCTCTACAGACCACAACCTGCAAGGATGAATTATTCTCCAGAGCAAGATGTTGAACACTAGCATGGAGACTATTACTTCAGAGGCAGATTGCTGTAGTCTTGCTATTTTCTAGCTGGAGCTTCAGGGCAATTTACAAGTAGAGACTATTGCCATGATCAGCGATGAGATTACAGGAGCACGATATGCTGTGATGAAACTAAAAACAGACAGCTCCAGGCCTAAAGTTCAATGTGCCACACCTGCTAGCAGAGAATATATAAATAACCTGGTCTCCAGGCTGCAGATCCTGCAAGAAGGGGTTGAATATCCCCATCCAGTGGGGCTTCCCCCACTACGTCCTCCCAAGGCCAAACAAAATCACCAAGATGAAGACAAGCTGTGCTTCAATACCTCTGCAGCCCCAAAAGCTGCACTCTAAGCTGTTGCTAAGGAAAACCAGCAAAACCAGGCATCCGGTGCCAGAAGACTGTAACTCTTCAATCTGACATCAAAAACTCTTTTATTGAACAGTTCTAAACAGCACTATCTGCAAAAGAAGTCTTGTTAACTGTGAATTTAATAACATTAACTGTAAGCTAGGGTGGTTTCTATGGAATTGCTTCAGAAGCTGAGGTGATTCCATTATCCCATCACTAGAACTCCCTCAATTTTAAACCATCTATGCAGTAGCTAAAGAAAAAATAACCACACTGCTTGTAGGTAAAATCATGATTGAAACTCAGACATAATATGCTGAATTGGTTTTTTTAAAGAATTCCTTCCATAAATTATACACTCTACATTGATTGCAAGTGTAGTTAAGCAAACTAAGACAGTATAATGGGAGCAGGAGACATCTTCTTGGCCTTGTGGGCTCAAGCGAGGTTATTCCCACTGCAAAACACCAATCATCTGTGCATTATGGTCTGTTAAAGTAATACTTGGCTTATCGAACCCATACTTTGTTTGATGCTTAAAAGAAACCCGGGTACACACCACAGAAATAAAGCTCTATTTTTGTAAAATGCTGGGGAACGGAGAAAAAGAAATAAAAGGGAAGCCCTTCCAGCTCTAACTGGCAACTCAACACAAGCATCCCCCCTTCATATGCTTGGTTTTGCTTGTTGTTATTAATCCACCAAAACATCACACACATACTAAACCAGGTGTTCACTAGGCAATTTCTGCTCATCATATAATCCTCAGAGCTTCCATCAAACTTTGCACTCTCTTACATGACAGAGGTAGAACTATGTGCTTTTGAGTGCCTGTGGCAAAAATACAGAACAGGTATACCAGCCAATGCTGCACTAGGCAGGGGAGGGAGAGGGTGCCAAGGCTGGAGGACGTTGCACATGAACCCCTGTGACAGGCTGGATTTCGGAGGTCAGCGAGCACGCTCAACAGCAGCTATGTCCGGTCCCATTCAGACACCAGTCTGAGCAACCAGTGTTGTAAGGCTCTTTTGAAAATCCTGGTTATTGCTTTTAAAGGCAGGTGAAAATCAATTAATTTTGGGCTTTTAAAGGAATGCCTTTGCTGTGGTCAACCCTGCCCACACGGTTACAATGCATTTTGCAGAGATGCACTGCCTTTTCTTTCTGTTTAGTGTAAAAGCACTTAATCTTGGTTATCTGCTCCCTGAAGGTCAGGCTTATTTCTTTAGATCTATTATTTACTGCCTGAAATTTTTAGTTCCCCCTTTCTGGCTATTATAGCTTCTTTCCCCAGATCCTATTTTCTTCACGATAACTCCATATGATGACTGTTGATAAAGTTAGGAGGATCGTGATTCTAAATGTCTGACCTTCTTCAAAATCTGATAATGGATACAGTTTCTGAATCATAGGTCATCTCAATTTTGCCAATAAACCATTTCTTTCCAGTGGCCTTCAGACCTTGAGGCTTACTGTGCACTGCAAAATGGAATCTTCAGGGAACAATAAAAGTAAGAGAGCCATCCTTAGCCTTTGCTTAGCATGTTAAGAGGGACACTGTACTTTGGAAAGTATGTTTGTCCCCAACAGCTTATGTACCACATTCTCAAAGACATTCACCACTATAGGACATTTAGGGTGGTGAGGCACTGGAACAGGTTGCCCAGAGATGTTGTGGATGCCCCATCCCTAGATGTCTTCAAGGCCAGGCTGGATGAGGCTTTGAGCAACCTGGTCTAGTGGAAGGTGTCCCTGCCCATGGCAGGGGGGTTGGAACTAGATGATCTTTAAGGTCCCTTCCAACCCTAACCATTCTATGATTCTATGATTCTATGATTTCCTGATGTTTGTATGAAGCTGAAGGTTAGAAGCATCTAATATGAAATAAACTCCTTCACATCTGCAATCTGTATGGAAAGGACAAGAAAAATCCATGCCTCCTTAAGCCCTCCCCACCTACTAAGGGCTATCCTGTCACATTTACCATATTCAACTTACAGCTCAAGGCACAGTGCCAAGTTTTACATCAGTACCGCAAATGTTACGCTCTGTGGTAAGGCACGATTACGCCATGCTTGTAAAAGCTGTGCCGGTGCCAAGGTACACAATTTGTTGGTATGAGTGCCTGCCAGCCTCCTTCAATGGCTTGACTGACATGGAGTTCTCGAAATGGTTCTCTTGGTCTTGCAAAAACACTGCCAGAGGTGCTATTCCTATTGAAGGTCAACATTTCACACAAACTACTGAGCAAGACGCAGAGGAAGGCATGTCAAACATGAATCCCTGGCTCAAACGGAGCTTGGAGAGTTAAGCAGTGACTGGATCCTGAACAGGGGGGAGCTGAGTAGGTTTTACTTACTGTCAAAGCTTCTGTGCTGTGCTGTTAGGGTCGTCTGCACGGAGCGACCAGCCTCTTTCATCATGGCTTCAAATTCACTTCGGCTTTTGTTGGCAAAGTTCTCCTCCATCTCGCTGGTGCAGCAGGTATAACCTTGTGGGCAGATCCGCAGGTGCTCCCCTGCAATGAAAGAAAATGTAGTTGAATGGCCAGGTCTGGAAAAGGAAGAATTTCACACCAGATAACCTCAGCATAAAAATATTCCAGCTCCCTAGTAACTTGGATCTGCATCAGGCTCTACATTTACCCGTAATTCGAGTTATCCTGCATTAATACAGTGGTTGGTGTGAATGCAGGTACAATTTTTCTCACTGCTGACTGTGAGGGAAGGAAAAGTGAAGGAGATTAAATTTATACACGAGGCAAAGAGAAGGGAAGTACACGTCTCCCGCCCTAGAATCCAGCTTTGCCCAGAATCCCAGAAGACATAGAAGTCTCTGATTAAATGACCTATTAGCTGTCCTCATTACATCAGCCTTAACATGTATATTAGAACAACTGTTTGAAACTACTTTATGAAGAAAACACACAACTTCAATGCGCTCCCTGCCTCCCCCAAAACACCTATCTGCGAAGGCACTTCCATAACCAGAGGTGAGACTAGTGAGAAGTTTTCAAAAGACAGAGATATGCTGAATGTCAGTGGAATTTGGGTGGCTAATGACCCTTCCCACATTTTGAAATCTGCCCATTTACTATTTTTTCAATGAAAAATTTATCTCCCAGAAAGAGACAAGACCACCCAAAAAATGGTTGCTGTGACAATCACTGATGGAATACACCTTTGGCTATAGGGAATGACAGGAAAGGGAAGAGGATCTGTCAGTGAAATTGCAAAATTTTTCAGTATGGAAGCTTTGCCTGCCCTCTGCAATCTCCTTATTGTGGAGAAGGAAGCGTTTGCATAGGCAGAGTCAGCAACATTTTAAAATAATTGCTTAAATTCTTAAGAGTTCTTACAAACAATGACACCTCCACCTGCAAACACACCCAACGTTTCTCCTTGCCCAGCAATAAGAATTCATTTGAATGAAATCAAGCAGCGGGGTTATATTTTTTCCAAGCTTAAAAAAACCCCTTGTTCCAAGCATGCACTGAGATAAACCAATTACAAAGAAGTTACCCTGCTTGCTTAACATAATTTGATTGGGATTGCCAATGATTTTGCTGGCAGTTTTACAGGACTGCTGTCTTAACGTCATAGCTGAGCTGAAACATATATTTAAACTTGTGCTTTATCTTGTGTGTCTCGACAGCTTTGAATCCTGAACCTGCACAGTCCTACAAAGTTTCCTATTGAAGCCCTCAGCTATTTACAGTATAGAGCCCTTACCAAACGTGTGCCATAGGGTAAAGGGTCTTTGAGACTGGGCATGTGTACTGTCCTTGTGAATACCATGTCATTAGTAGCCTGACTAAGAGCACTTCTGACAGGAATGCTCTCCAGTTGATGTACTTTCGGCAGAAGCCATTCAAGGTGAGTCTGCATTTTGCTGGCCCTCTGGTCCCTGCTCACAGACAGCTCCGGAGTAACTTCTGCAGGCCACTGGGTTGAGTCTGCCCTTGGAAAACAGGTTATCATGTGCATCTGCACGCACACAACAGCCTTCCTGCCTATGTGATGGGAATTGCTGCTCACCTGCTTTCATAGGAGCATAACTCCCATTATCAGGCTTTTGTCGTGCTCCTAACTGAAAGGAGCATCAGAGATGGCGTCACGTCCCATGCACTCCCGTCTCCCATAGGACCACCCTCCCAGGTCCCACAAGTACGCAGGGACCTCTGCACCACAACATCAAAGCAAAAGCAGCAACTTGCTTCAATACAAAAACTAAGAGTCAAATATAAACACCATGGGGCTCAGTGCTTGCCACACCAAATGCCATTTAACCTACAGTGCTTGCCTAAGCCTTTCCTTCCTTCATAAACTAGATTGTTGCAATTCATTTCTGTAAAGCTGCATTTGTACAAGAAAGTCATTGTGAGGACTGCTGACGTGACTGACAGGCAGAAAAAGGGAGCTATAAGTTTTTTGACAAGAGACAGCTTTGTTTCCAGTTATGGCAAATTAAAAACTTTCTTTTTGTCCAGCCTCTTCCGTCTGATTTCTGCTGCCACAGGATTTCTGTCGAGGATCAAAGTTTTGTTGACAGTTGTTTTACAGCGGTATGCGTCCTTCCACGCTGCCCTTGGTGCCCTCAGGCCAAAGTGAGGCCTTGTCAGTGCCCGGCCTCTCTGAAAGGCCTACAAACAAGGAAACGGATCCTAAAGGATCTCAAGGGTTCCCAAAGACTGCCTTTACCACCACCGCCTCAGTCACTTTGCGGGTGAGGGCCTGGTGCTGCGAGCCCTTGCACAAGATCCCCCCCCGCCACATCTCGGTGCGCCATTTCACCAGGCCTTGCAGGTTTGGCCTAAGCCACCAACAACCCATTACAAATCCCCTGTTTTCGCAAACCAAGATAACGCAGTGGGAACCCATGGCCTGGGGAACTCCCATCTCCTGGCCTGCTGCCAGTAAGCAGGGCCTGGCTGAACAACGGCCTCCTACCCCTGAGGCAGGATTCTGGTAGGAGACACGCCTGAAACTAGGGAGAGCAAACATGGCCGCCCGAGCAAGGAAACACACCTTCATGAAAGCTGTCCGTCAGGCTTTAGAAACAAAAGAAAGGGGGAAAGGGTGGGCATTGCCTCTGGGGAAGAAGAGGGCCTGCCCTCAGAAGGAAGATGGACTGGGAGGAGGAGCCTCGTGCCGCGCCCAAGCCCCCTGATGAACAAGGAGGTGCAGCACAAGTGTGAGGTGTGCTAATTAAAACGTGACATGACCAGACAAAACCCTCCGCACTCCCACCCCAGGCAAAGCAGACAGCGTGTTTCAGCATGGTGGCATCACTCCAACACCTTGCTGTGCTAGCAGAGCTTCAAATAACTTCCAGCCAGCCGGCACCACGGAACAGTGGGAAAGAGGCAGAAAGGAAAAAAGGCAGAACGCAAGTGAAGAGTCACACCTGCAGCTAAAATTGCTTAATTTTACACAACTTTGTGAATTGAACATAGAGTTTTTTTACATGTTTGAACTCAGAGCAGTTTCAATCTCTTTTGAAGCAACATTTATCTTAGCTTTCTGCAGGCATGTCTATGGTACTCAGCACCACAGCACTTCATCCCAGTGGGAAGCAAAGTTTTTATCATTTGTCTTTGTAATCAAACTCAGCACACGCAAACTCATCCCACAGCACTATGAAAACGCTTTGCTTTCCTTCCTTTTTAACCTGACCCTGGAAACATTCACGATTATTATTTAACCTTTTTATTATTGACTCCAAAATAAACGCACCCTAGACCGTATTTTTGCCCTCCTTATATTTCAAAGTTCATTTGTTTGCTCACTTGCTGTTATGTCATTGCTGAAGCTGCACTATAAATACCTCCGGGTTCACTTGGCAGGACGCTGTCTGCAGATATCCGTGGAGAGCTAGGGGTGTTTTACGAGGAGTAAATCTGCAAGATACAGCGTGCGTTCTCCTCTCCACTGCTGCGTCAGAGAAATTTCCCCTTATATACAGCTGCCACGTTGCTAACCACTGGCTTGAGAGTGCCTGCTCCCGGCCCCCGTGGATGAGCTTTGCAGAAAGCAAGCGAGCGTGGCAGAAGCCAAACAGGCAGCAAGCAGAGGGCTGCGCCAAGTCTCCTTGAAGATAACAGCTATGCTCCCAGTGACTCAGGCCAACTCTGGGTCAGGCCCAAGGAGAATTATACTATCCCGTATGAGTCTGTAACTGAAACACAGCCATCTCTCTGCAGCCCTTGACTTGCAACCCCCCAGCTGAGCAGGTCTGCCCAGAGTGTATTTGATGGCTCAGCTAATAGCAGCTCCACGCTGCCCTAAGTGCTCTGGATTTAAGACACGTTTGTAAGTAAGGGAAGATGCACTCTGGGAGGCTCTTGTCTTCCCTTCAGAAAATTATCTTGTCTAAGCCTTCGGCAACCAAAATGTGTGGTTCAATCTGGGTCTCCCGGGAAGAGCCGGCTCTCCTGCAAAGGCTGCCGGAGTCAGGTTGGGATGTAACCCACTGACTTCATGGTCTCTTGGAAACAGAGACAGAGCAGAGCATGCATGAAAACAGCATCAAACAGATATCTCATTTATGATTAACTGCCCTGAAGTGGAAAGGAATAGGCAGGAGGCTGATGACAAGAAAATATCACACTGCCTGGCTACGGGCTTGGATTGACCTTCAAATACCCTCTCAGCTGGCTGGGTTAGCAGAGCATTTTGGCTATCGAATTCATTACTGCGTTTGAAAGTGCTGAATATTAAATCGCTTGACCACCTTCCCCTCAGGGATGGAGCTGGGCTTTTTTGTGGCAGGGTCCCCACAGGGGGAATAGCTCTGACTGCAGCCACCACTGCCCTGAGTTGAGACAGGGCTCTCAGCTCCCTGCTTTTTCCCCTGTGTGCTCCCAGCCTCCCTGCCCTGGCCCACGCTGGCTCCCCTCAGCCATGGGCCTGCCTGCAACGGGCTGTACAGGTGTGTGTTCTAACACCAGCGCAGCAGCATCTCGGCTAACCGAATTCAGAAAAGCTCTCTAGCTGTTCACTGCCTCTGCGTTTCACCCCACCATGAGGGTCTGCAGCCATGAAAACAACAGCGAAGGGCAGTCCCAGGGTGTAAAACGCAATACTGAGACAAGAGTCCTTGGCCACTTTAGCCACGTAAATAGTTCTATTTCTATCCCTCTCACAGGATGTTGGAGATTGAATTCATTACAATGTTTGCAGAAGGTTTGGGGTTATTTGGATGTGTCAGAGTATCTAAATGCAAATTATTACAAAATGATTTCTTCCAGAGGTTAATTTATTTCAGACTGTGTTAAATCTGTCAAGATTCTTCCCTTATATTCATAACCCTCCTCCCACTTGCTTTCCAAAGTGCTCCAAAAACACATCTCATGCTCCTAGACCAAAACTGTCCCCTGACTGTTTCACTCCAGCCCCCGATGCCAGGACACGTACAGCCCAAACCCTCTCCTCAGGGGTTTCTGGGTGGACATGTCTCAGGCAATCAGGTTTGCTGAAGTCCCACGCTGCTGAGACCCCCCTGCCAGGCACGGCAGGG